TGGAAACGACCCCTGCACGTGCGCACGTGCAGCAGCACCCCAACTCTGGCACATGGATATGCAGTGCCTAGTGGGTGCCTACCTACATGCCAACTTTCAGCGCAATCGGCCAAGTAGTTACCGAGATATTGCAACAATTACAAAACTGACACCTCTTCGTTTTGCACGTGGCACGTGCATAAGGGGTCACCCGCATGCATCGGGAATAGTCCAATACTTGGTAGAAGGAATGAAGCTACACTACAAAAATTACCGCGTAAATCGGTCAAGTGGTTGCTGAGATATAAGCCTCGCAAAAGCGTCCGCACGGCCGGCCCGCCGGCCGCTCATACTCAGAAATTTCCGAGGAAAGACTCCGCTCGCTTCGCTCGCTCCGTAATTATTGCTGTGGTTTATGTAGGGGAGACCCGGGAAGCTGGGCCGGTTTTGTAAAAAGACAATTTTCTTCCAGTGGGCAGTGGCTAGACCTGGTTTTTCACCCTGTGTACATACGTGACATTGCCGTTCGCCTGTAAAGTGTGCCTGATATTAGGCATATGGAATCAACTATTTTGGCTCGAGATAATTTTGAATAAATCATGCGCCTTTTCGATCCAACAAAATACACTGGGTCGTCAAGTTCGAACCATTTCTTGGCCCCGGTCTATAATCGTATTACACCGCGCTTGCTCAATGCTCAGCTCGTATTGTAAGAGCACTGCTGCACAGCATAGATGCAGGCGCTTTGCTACTGCCATCTATGGGTGAAAGATGAAGATAATGGTTATTGCGGTACAGTATCACTGCAGGCGCAAGCAACGTTTGGATAACGAAGATGCCTATGCTGCGCTGGCCGGCGATTGAGGCGTAAGTTTGCGTTGCTGGGTAGCAAAAAATTTAGGAGCCCGAATTTGACAAAATAAATGATTTGCCGTGCTGGTGGTCTAAGGTCGCAAAATCAACCGAACCCTAGGTCGAGGTAGAGGTAGGTACTCTACGTATATACTGGTATATACTGTTGATCTTATCAATCGCTGCACGTTTTAAACCGGTTGTTTAGTCTGTGTAGCTATGACGAGCATTATACTTTTTCCTAAGGTAAGGTCACTTGGACGTAACCTGGTGCCCTAACCTTGAGCGACCTAAGTCTGAAAGTTATGCAGCATTTGTGAAAAAGTGGTATGAAAAGGTGTGCCAAAAAAAAAATGGCGGCGCTCCACAACGCCGTTTCGATATATTTATTATTTACATAAATCCACGGGTGTCCAAGCATCCCCACCGCCCGGCGCGGACAATTTTTTGCACGTGCAGAGCGCACCTTTGGAGTTCACCAGGAGATGGATATTGGATATGCTAAATAAGTATGCTGGAATGCATTCTGTGTCGCCTGTGTAAATTTGGCACTTTGAGCCTGCCAGCGCTACCCACCCGCCCGCATATGTGACACCAGACACAGAGTGCAACATCAGAAGGTTTGCACGTACCCCAGTACGCCTATTTGCACAGCACCTTAAAGCGCGTGTCCAGTAGTGTCAGTGTGGCAAATTTGGTGTGCCTAGGTCAAGGTTTTCCGGAATCGGAGGATGCCTCCTCAAAACATGCTTTTCGCCACTAGCGCGTGCATTCCGCACCCCCTGATGCCGAGCATACCATATGTTAGTGGTCAAACACTGAGACATGTGACCTGTGAGCTTGGCACCTGTGCCGCCCTTCGTTTGATTTAAAGCGTCGCCTTAAGGTTTTTGCCCTTTGTAAGTTTGTCGGCACGTGGCACGCGCCATGTGACACCGGGTGACCTGTGACATGCATCATCACCTGCCTCAAGGCATTACCCGTCGAACGGTACCACCAGCATCTCGATCCGATCATCCGTTTAGACGCAATTCTAATTGTATTGGCTCGATGACCTTCCAGAGCACGGTTTTTTCGCAACGTAAGATGGCGCCTTGTCAGCTTCACCTGAATGGAGGTGGTTGCGGGTCCAGTTTATTTATACGTCCGTGCTTTGAACACAGCACGAGAATTGGTAGCTGAAATACTGAGAAAAGTGGTTCGCGCCTGGTTGGCGCACATTCATTTCACAGACGATCAACTTAGGGGAAGCCGGGGGAAGCCCGGCATAGTAAGCTGATAAGCTCTTTTTCATTTTTATTGCATACCTTGCGTGCTGTACCTATACAATGTTGAAAATCCTGATAGCTAGATGAGTTAATTGGCCTGTTTGCCCAAAAACTCGGCTTTGTGGAAATAGTATAAAGTTGCGAAATTCAAGTCTTAAAAAAAGTATTGATTTTTCTGGGTTAACCCTCGACAGTATAGGGGGGGGGGTCGAACGGACCCCCCCCCTCGGTTTTTGGTGAATAACTCGCGTGAAAAAGCGACCGATCGCGACGAAACTTTCAGTACCCTCGCGTTAATCAATTTTACACCTACCCTGAAATTTTCATGACCCTGACCTTAATGCCCTTTGACCTGTGACCTACTTTTCGAGACCATGTTTGGCCTTAATCGCGATTCGGCGTATGTCGGCTCGCATTAGCCGCGCGTTTGCAGTCTTTTCGTGGTTTTAAGCGTTCAAACATGGGATATGATGTTGCTCCCATGCATTAGGGTGCAGGTGTCAAGGTCACCGGAAGGTCAGGTCAGGTCATTGACCTTTGATGACCTCGGTTCACTTTTTCGAGTTTTACATGTTTCTAGGCCATTTTTTGGAGATGAATTCGAATTAAGCAGCCATATGAACATTTACGAAGTAGTTTTGGTGCCTTCGTAACATGTTGCGAAGCTGTCAGAGGCGGTTGCCACCTAACTACGAATACCCTTACTGGTTGACCTGACCTGACCTGACCCGACCTGGCCTAAATGCATTAAGACATCATCTGTGATCAAAACAAACATGATATTCGTGATCAGCACCCCGAAAAACCCCATAGCAGCCACGCTTTACGACTTTCTAACAGGTCCCGATTTTCCCGACTTTTGGGTCATTGACCTGACCTAGAAGGTCAACCGATGACCTAGGATCTTAAAATTGGGTATCATCGGCTTCCTCTCGTGACGGGCAACACGCTCGTTTTTTCTGCGAAGCTCTATCTCGATCAGGGGCGAAACGGCAAGGGAGGGTCCAACGAACCCCCCCCCCCCCCCTTATACGTTCGCGGCTGGAAAATACCGAGTGTTAAGCCCGGCATAGGGGCAACGCCAGCCACCTCTCCAGCGCTTTACAACGAGTTGATGGAACCTTTATTGTCTTCAAAATATTGACGGAAAGTGAAATATTAACCCTCGCATGTGTGCGGCGTTTGCCAGCTTCTAATGTGTAGGGGGGGTCGGTTGGACCCCCCCCCCCTTGCCGTTTGGCCCCTGATCGAGCTAGAGCTTCGCGGAAAAAACGAGCGTTTTGCCCGTGACGAGAAGAAGCCGATGATACCCAATTTTAAAGTCCTAGGTCATTGGTTGACCTTCCAGGTCAGGTCAATGACCCAAAGCCGGGAAAATCGGGACCTATTAGAAAGTCGTAAAGTGTGGCTGCTAAGGGGTTTTTCGGGGTGCTGATCACGAATATCGTGTTAGTTTTGATCACAGATGATGTCTTGAAGCATTTAGACCAGGTCGGGTCAGGTCAGGTCAACCAGTAGGCGTCGTGACGGGTATTCGTAGTACGTGTCACTCTGAGAGCTTCGTAACATGTTACGAAGGCACCAAAACTACTTCGTAAATGTTCAAATGGTTGCTAAATTCGAATTCAGCTCCAAAAACTAGCCTAGAAACATGTAAAACTCGAAAAAGTGAACCGAGGTCACCCGAGGTCACCAAAGGTCAATGACCTGACCTGACCTTCAGGTGACCTTGACACCCAACCTAATGCATGGGAGCAACATCAAATCACATGTTTGAACGTTTGAAACCACGAAAAGCTTGCAAACGAGCGGCTAATGCGAGCCGACATACGCAGAATCGCGATTCCGGCCAAACATGGTCTCGGAAAAGAGGTCACAGGTCAAAGGTCATTTAGGTCAGGGTCATGAAATTTTCAGGGCAGGTGTAAAATTGATCAATGCGAGGGTACTGAAAGTTTCGTCGCGATCGGCCGCTTTTTACGCGAGTTATTCGCGAAAAACCATGGGGGGTCCATCCGACCCCCCCCCCTACACATGCGAGGGTTAAGGTACTGTTTAGCTCTGGACATCTTGGAGTTTATGTCACTTCAGGTATTTTAGCTAGCGTCTACCACATACATATATAGCACGGGTCGATGAAAATCGTGATGCAAAATAGAAAAAAATGTGTGTTTTTAGATTCCTTTAAATTCATTTTTTTCCTTTACCTACATGCATTATATTGCATATCATTCGCTTCGGCTGATCAAGAAGAACACAATGAAACCATTTTTGAAGCTCTAGCTTCATTGTTTGTCAGGTTATCTGCAAAAACGTAGTTTCACCCTAGTTGACCTCAAGTGACATGGCCGTTCTTGTAGCATACAAACATAAACTTAGTCACATATTGATATAAACTGATAGTGTAACCCAAAGCCGTTAAAATGGAGCGGATGTCTCCCATATTTTTACAGTAAAAAACAGACAAGCAATCGCCCTTCATCCATAACTGATAGCTATGCGCACTGGAATAGAGCGTCAAGCTGAAGATGCTTTGTCTATGATAACATGGTTATTTTCGAGGTTTATCTTTGGGCGAGGTCTAAACCAAACCTACTCAGTATCTATTATCTCATGGAAAACAGGGGTTTAGTGGCATTGCTCTCGGTTAGGGGTAAGCTCGGCCATTCGCCCGGGGTTACCCCAATGTGCTAATTTTATTTTTGCTCTATAACTTTAACCATATACAATTTTTGTTCAGCCTTCACTTTTGTGCTGCGTTGCCTCAGCTGCCACGCTGCAAGGACAAACAGTTAAGCATTTTATTGTGAATAATTTAGCCGGAAACGGGATGGCCGGGCTTTCCCCACGGCCGGGCTTCTCCCGGCTTCCCATAAAGCTTACAAAACTCGTTACTGACAGCCCAAGTATTCATAGGAGCTGTGATTAGTTCCGAAAAATTTCCGGGCTATGCTAACTCTCCCCAACACAAAATGTTATAATCGATGAGTTTTCGTCCGCGCGAACAACACAAGAGTTTCTTAGCACATATGACTAGAAAAGTTGTGCATTTGGGTTAGGGCTATGAGCCGACAATATCCTTTTAATCCTCTAGTTTTGTCTTTGCCGCGCGCCGCAGCGGCCGGCCGAGTCGTCAGCCGTGTGTGTATGTGTGACCTTGCACAGCCGAGGACAGCAGGCCCGTCGCGGCCGGCCGCTATAAAGGCCGCCGCCGGCCGTCCACCGACACAGTATCGCTCACCTCACCTCTCCACTCACATCATGAAGCTGCTGGTAAGCGGCTAAATGCACTGTAGTGACAAAGTATCGTCCGAAAAGATTACAATTAACTTTCGGCTTTCGTCTTTGCCAACTTCTTTGCCATTTCTATAGGAAAATATGTGAAGAATGGTGGTGAAAGAATGTGTTAGCATATCGCTTCCATCATTAATTTTCAACACTAAGACCAGCAATGCGTGCACCATTGCGACTGTTTCCATAGCACGCTACCACCAGCGACAATATCCTGCAGCTTTCGCTGACGGTCGCCGCCCGTTTCAGGCGCTGCTGGTTGTCGTCGTCGCTGCCGCCGCAGTGGCCGAGGCCGACGGGGGATATGGCCACCAGACGTGAGTACCCAGCGCTCAGACGCGCCACTCCGTGCACCTCTGTGTCAGCTGTGTATGTACACTGGCCGGACACCGGTACAGAGGTGCCGGCCGCGGCGGTCGTCCGGTGCTCCCCGCACCCGCTCACAGCCGCCCACAGATGGCCGGCGCCCGTGTCTGGCCGTTCGTCCGATATACACACACCCGTACCGGCGTACCCTGCCCCGAGTGTGACCCGAGCCCCGGCGCCGCTGTCCGCAGACACTACCCGGTCAAGACGATCGTCAAACACCGCCGCTACCCGGTGGTGAAGCACCAGCCGTACCCGGTGGTGCGCCGCGTGCCCGTCTACAAGCCCGTCCACAAGACGGTCGTCAAGCACGTGCCCCAGCCGTACCCGGTCGTCAAACACGTGCCCGTCGTCAAGCACGTGCCCGTGGTCAAGGAGGTGCCCGTGGTGAAGCACGTGCCGGTCGTGAGGCGCGTGCCCGTGGTGCAGCACAAGTACCATGTCAGGAAGGTGCCCGTGCACGTTCCCGTCTATGTGCAGAAGCCCTCTTACGGCTACGGCCACCATTAAACTTCCGGCATCTATAAATTAATCCATTTCTCCTTGCTGCACTGCCGCGCTGTGGTCTGGTGTCTTCCGACCGCGCCCACCCACAGAACCCCCCATCCGGCCCCTGGGCGGCGCCCTCCCGGCTCCCGGGGTGCTGCAGACCGTGTCCGCCGCACTGGAGCGTCTGTCTATGCCGCGCTGTGTTACCGCCAATGTGTTGTGAACTGCCTGTGTATGCTGCGATAGCACCCCTGTGCTGTCAAATATACAGTATATATCGTATCGAGAGGCTTTGAGAGCAGTGGGAGGCGCCTTTATGAAAAGGGTAATGGCTAATCGGGGCATATACGGTACTTTGAAGGCTGGATGCACACATGCTCAAATCACTGACGGTCAAATCTCAACTCGCTGGACAAAGGCTTCCTTTGAGCTGGGACCGTACTAGTCTAAGATGGGGCCATGGACGCTGTCATTTGACTCTTTTCAGTCTGCTAAATAGATCGTGCACTGCAAGATCTTTTCAAAGATTCTTATTTAACATACGGCGGCGGCGCTAATGAGTATATGATTTTTGAAAACTCAGAAAATGCAGGTTAATTTCTCGATGGTAAATGTCTGCATCTCGAATGCAAATGTTCTTAGTTTTTACTGAAGAAAATTTTCCAGCATAAATTGGAGGTCTTTAAATTGAGTAGCACGTCTAACGAACAAACTGATATAAGAGACGGACTAATTCTTTAAGCATTCCACGGAGCATTGGTCGTGTCGAATCATCGATTGTATGTTTCCATACTCAGAACTCCCACAGGCGTCTTTTTTAATTTATTTGTGAGGCTTTAATAGTTAATTTGGAATGCAAAAGTCATGTCTACGATGCAAGGTAATAGGGCTAATGCAAAAATACCGAAATTATCGATATGGCTTGAACCCTACCCCGCCATATACATAAAACGACACCCATGTATACGTAGCCCGCGCATGACTGGGGGGGTCTACAGAGCCCTCCTCCTGGTTTTCTGCAATATCTTCCAAACCGCTGGGTGTATTGACACGAAACTTTCGGGATCAATTTGACACCTTGTGTCGGAAGAAAAACATCGATACTCGATAGGACTAGGTACCCTAAGTCGGCCGGAAATGATTTAAACTGACTTAAATTTTCAGTGACCTAGCTTGACCTAGCCTTTAGCTGAAAGTTGAAACATAGGTATGAAATACAAGCTCGGTACACTTAGGATATTCAGCACAAATTTGCAAGTGTATAAACCCAAAATGAGCACGATGTACCTTTTCATTTCAAGCGACGGCCAGAGCCAAAAGTGTGAACATGCACAAATGTTAAGAATGCTTACTTTGCCCTTACCTGTGACGTCATCGGTGCCCTTTGGGCCAATGGGCAATGACATTAGACTTAATTCAACAGCTTTCCAGGGTTATCGAGCCCCTTTCGAATTTTGATAGAGGAAGGGCTCCGTAGAACCCCCTCCCCCCTCCCCCCCAAGTCACTCGTGTTATGGAATATACCCCAATCATGCGCGGGTTAAACAAGGAACCACGCATCAAATCTTTTTATTGGTCTGCTGCAACAGACAACCGCTGCAAGTTATGAATTCCAACATATGAATGCCTTTATATCGCTGACCGACGACCGGCCAGAAATGATAACATCACTCATACTGTGTGGCATCAGGCGTGGTTGCACAGAATTAATGGCTTACGCTGCTCACTTGAAATGAATTGCCTTTTCCTCATTCGTAAACGGTACCGAGGTTGCGCTGTTACTCAGATTATTTGCCAATGTTATGCATGGATATGGATATGTATTGTCTTTTTTCTAAGATGGCATGTGATAACCGAATCTGCACTCTACCGTAGTGCGTAGTTATTCTTTTGAAGCTAGCCAACTTTTGTGTAGTTTGCATTTTCACTAATTTACGTAGCTCCTTTGTTTTATTTTGCATAACACTTTGCAATTGAAGTTGACTTAAAGTAGGTACCTCGAAAATTTTTACTTTTTAGGCTATTTCAAAGTGAGAGGCCTTAATAATCATGATAACCAGTGGTGAGAGGCCTTACATAAATATAAAAGTATATTTTGTTAATGTAGGTATATGTCATCATCAATATTTTTAGACGAATAGGTAGTTTTAATCAGCATAAAATGGCTAGCGAATGAAAGGCTGCCTACCAAAATGTTTAAATAGAAGATGAATGAAAATACTTATGCAAATATACCTTGCAAATCGGCATCCGCGTTTTATGTGATTTACGTCGTTTAGTATGCCTACATACGTCATGCACTGATCTGCCCATAGCGCACTTGCTTGTGAAAAAGCGTTTGGTCTACACGCAGATCCGAGTGAGGTAGGTATCGGTGCCACTGAGTTCAGTGTCTCATGCTTCCGTGGTCTGGGTGGTGAGTTTTTCGAATGGTCAGACGCCTAACACTGCTCTGATTGGCGCCGAGCCGGACCGGCGACGCGAGTCGGACCTACGCGGGAGTCCCGCCCTGGCCGTGTCGTATGTGCCCTGTCTCTGACTGTGCATCCCGGTTTGAGTCCCGTGAGACAGCCGACATCGCATGGAAAGTGTCTGGAATGACAGCCCCTTTGTCCGACCACCAGCCCCGGCCTGATTGACGCATATATGAGACGACTACAGTGATGGCGCTTCGATAGCAATGTTCCCTGTCGACTGTAAGTCAGCAACAGCGTGGTTAGTACAGACAAAGTCGTACATCACAGAGAGTCAGTGTATTCAGTGCATACATTGTATACAAACGTACACCACAGTTGACACATTTCAGATGGAGCAGGCAGTGACCAGTCGGGGTACGGCAACATGGCTTGCAGGCCACAGGCCATCAGGCATAGCTCGGCGCTGATTGGCCACATGAAATATAAATATCACACAGCGCGGATGCAGACGGATGAATCATACGTTATCGGGATGATAGCTGCAGGGGAAGTTCGTGGCCGCAGCCGGCTCAGTGGTGGCCGTACCCGCCGTGGCCGTGGCCGTACTTGGGCTTCTCGACGTAGACGGGCACCTTGACGGGCACCTTCTCCTCGCGGTAGTGGTGCTTCACCACCGGGTAGTGCTTCACCACCTCCACGTGCTTCACCACCGGCACGTGCTTCACCACTGGCACGTGCTTGACGACGGGCACGTGCTTGACGACCTGGTACGGCTGGGGCACCTTCTTGTAGACGGTGTTGTAGACGGGACGGTAGACGGGCACCGGCTTGATGACCTCGTAGGGCACGCGCTTCACCACCGGGTACGGGTGGTGTTTGACCACGGTGCGCACCGGCTGGTACCTGGGGAAAACAACACAGGGGTTAAATGGCGGCACATTCTTGCTTTGGAGAACACAGCGCCGAAAATACCAGACATTTTATGCACACCTTATGCGAGAAGTGACTGCTTGAAAAGAATTCATCCATGTCAGGCGAGTAGTTAGTGACAGCCGTGCACTGTGATAATGGCAGGGAGGTGGAATTACCCGATGTGCTCCGTCTGGTAGCCGCCGTAGCCTCCCCCGTGGTGTCCGCGCCGGCCACCGCCCAGGCCGAACGCCTGCGTCGAGGCTACCACGGCCAACAGCACAGCCTGGCGAAACACGGCACTCGGATCAGATCGACGGCACTTGGCAGTTGGCAAATGTGAGGCACCCTATACTCGTCACTCGAGTCTAGAGGCGACGTACCGCTTAGACATGTGCATAACGTCTATGCAGAAGCTTATTTATTTTGCTTTGATTTTATAGCTGAAGACCTTGCGAGTTATGACAACAAAGCCTCAAACTATTTGATTTTAACATGGCTTTTCACATAATTGTATTGATTACTTGCAAAAACTGATAAAAAGCTGAAATAATTAGATGACCTAGAAGTAGGTCACAGTGAGCAGTGCCGCTTACCAGCAGCTTCATGATGTGAGTGGAGAGGTGAGGTGAGCGATACTGTGTCGGTGGACGGCCGGCGGCGGCCTTTATAGCGGCCGGCCGCGACGGGCCTGCTGTCCTCGGCACTGCAAGGTCACACATACACACACGGCTGACGAATCGGCCGGCCGCTGCGGCGCGCGGCAAAGACGAAACTAGCGGATTAAAAGGATATTGTCAGCTCATAGCCCAAAATCAAATGCACAGCTTTTCTAATCACATATGCCAAGAATTATGCTTGAGTTGTTACTTTTTAGCATGCATTACAATTCATCGACGATAGGTAGATAATAGCCGTTTTCACGACGGCCATTTGGTACACATTTGGTGCACATTTGGTGCAGATAGGTGCAGATTTCGTCAAATTAGGTTCAGTGTGTCTCTTAGTAGCTATCAGCTAGAGTTGCACTAATTGCTTATATGCCTGCTTTGTCATAATATCAGAAAGTATTAGAGATGTCAATCGGATACCAACTTTTTGGTATACCAATACCAAACCGATACCAACTTGGTATTTGGTATTTCAATCGTAATGTGTTTGGTATTTTGTTGGTATCATAAGCCCTCACTAATGTATTAGAGGCTAAGAAATCGGTAAAAAAGTTGGTATTTCCCTCAGTTTCTCAAGTTGGTTTGGTTTCGGTATTCTCCCGTGGTTTTAGTTGGTATTTGGTTTGGTATCGGTATTCCGATTTTCCGTGATTGACATCACTAGAAAGTATCATCGATTAAAACACTGAAATAAATGCATAAAATAAAGACATTTGCTGTAAAAGAGATTAAGTGCAGATTTGGTCAAATTAGGTGCATTTGCCGGGTAGTCCGTCATGAAAACGGCTATTATGTGTTGGGGAGGATGGGCATTGGCGGGTAGTTTTTCAGATCACCACACCTCCTACCTACTTCGGTTGTCATTAACGGATTTTTGCAAGCTTTACTTTGTATGCATTTCAGCGCTTTTATGAGAGACAAAGCTAAGCAAGTTAAATAGTTAAATTGCTCTGGGGACCGGATGTAATTTTTAGTCGGCATGATGTGATGAGTGATGAAAGTGGGTTTAGGGGCACCGACCATCGGCGCAGCCGGCAGTGCCCCAACAGTCGGGTCACTAAACTTACGGGCAAAACAAGCGTTCAGACAGTTGGCACGCTCCCCTAGTTATATAGACGGTCATCACGTTCCAAGACCGGAGACACTTGTGATGACGACTTAATAGCTAAAACAAACTACCAGTAACGTTTGGGGTTGTCTTTAAAGTCGTCAGCAAGACTCAGAAGGTACTGACGGTATACCGTGGCTACTACCGATTTAAACTCTGCCCTCGCGGCAAAAAAAC